TTTACGATCAGTTAGGGTGATTATCATACTAGTAAAATTAAATATTAATTAGGGTGTATTTGATAATATTTTTTATGAAAATCTGAATTTACTGTAGATAATATCAACTTTCGGTATGCTTTTTTCTTAAACTAGTATAATAATTAATGTCTAAATTTTTTTAAAAATAGAGAACAAATTGTATACTTTAACATAACAAAGCTATTTTTTTGATTTACATTATTTTTAAGTAGTAAATTCTTTAACAATATAATTGAACTTTACCTAAATTTAACAAATATAAAGCTGTTGAAATTTGTAAAAATGAGATTGTTATTAGAAAGAAAGCAATAAAAGCTATTAATTAAAAAAAATTCTGATATAAAAAAGTTATATCCTTCGCTCAAAAAGTGTATCTTTAGCAGTTGTTTTAAAAAAAATTTCTTTGCATTTATAAATTAAAAAAATGCTACATCTCAAAACAATATTCAAATAATATCAACAGTTAAAAAATGCATATAAGCAACATCAGTTTTCTAAAGAGACAATTGATAGTAGTATGAATGAGAGCAGTAACAATATATTGACAAATTCACAACCATTAAATATAGAAATTGATAGTAGTGCAAATAAGAATAGTATCAATATACTAATAAATTCAAAACCATTAAAAATAAAAAATTGATATCTAGCAAAATACTAATGCTAATAAAAATGTTCAAGAAATTAATGATCTTGATATTTGACAGCAAAAGATTAATAAACTTCTCAATTATATAATTGATTTGCTAGATTCAATTCTTATAACATTTATTAATATAGTTAAAAAAAGTTGCCCAAGAACAACTTAATCAATCAAAATATATAAAAATATGAAATATATTTTTAAATATAGCAAGAAAGATAGATAATAATAAGTTGGGTCTTAACGTATCATTATTAAATCTTATGAGATATACAAAAGGGCCTAACATCACGAAGTTAAATCAATCACTATCTTATATAAATTAAATGTTATTATTAAATAAATACTTGTTAATAATAT